CTGGCGACTTCGAGGTGGGATACCGGTCAATGGGTAAGCTAGTGACCCGCCTGGTGTCGTGAAACCTCTGTATCCCTGGAAAGGCGCGCGAAAAGCGAATTTCGCTCCCTTCCGACGGAATTTCACGACCTTCTGGGCTTACAGTGGCCCTTCACAGCACCCGGCGCGGCCGACACCTTTATGGAAGGAAGCAGGCTGGAAGGGGCTCTAGAAAAAGGTGAAATCTTTCCAGCCTTCTTTCCAAATGGGAAGACGGCTGGAAAGGAGGCGAGTTGGCCTTTGTTCTATACCCTCCTTTCCAGCGTTTTTGAGGCCATGAAAGGAGGCTGGAAAGATTTCACCTTTTTCTAGGCGCCTTTTCAGCCTACATTCCCATCAAAAGGAGGCGACTGCGGTTGCTGTGAGCTTGCCCGGCCTGATCTCCGATGATGGAAAGCCAAGCGCCGTGGCGCTTACGCACTTGCTCTTGACCACCATCTGTGAAGTCGAGAATCCTCACTACTCAGCCTCTGAAATACGTCGTCTGCGCGAACTACTCTGCTCGAGTACAAACGCTCATCAGAGCTGCTCAGTCTGAACACTCAAATCCTCCGCAACAATGATCCCCGGATCCGCGCATTCCATCGCCACTCCTTTCCTGCGCGCCATTCGCGACTGCTCATGTCCCTGATATTGCTATGTTGGAGTCCGCGCTCACGTCAAATAAGTATCCGTGCTGCGTACATCAAGGCTACTTGTTCGCTGAGTTGACGAGCCTATCCAGTCATTGATGTACAACTCCTCGCGTTATGCTTTCTGTGGCGGCAGAAGGCAATGCTACCGGTGCTCGGTGCCTTGGTCAGCGAAAGGCGAACGCCACACAGTGAACGGTCGGTGTATTCTTACCAATTAGACTAGTCACAGGGTCACGTCGAGACTCAACGCATGGCAGCGCTGATCACATTTTCCTCTCTGCTCTACCACTTGCCCCTTCAACGCCCTGAAATGGCGCCTTCTCTACTTCACGTAATCTTCGACGCGCCATTCCATAATACGTCGTTCATCATCAGCAACGCAGACTTCTGCCTAGTGGCAAACACGCACCTCCCTCGAGCTCTTGGTGAGACCGAGCATTGCGACCTCCATATCGTGTCGAAGATCGGCATACCCAAAACGGACGTTCGCGTCTTTCGCGCCCAGCTCGCGCCGCTCATAGATAGCCGCTCCAAGCGGGACGTCATTGTGAAGATGGCGCTGACTCGCGACGCGTATGCGCTCATGCTTCAAGAAGGGCTGTTCTATGCGCGGTATCTGGCGCCTGAGCAAGGTCAGACGGTGCCTTTGAGCTATGGCGTCTACGAGGCTCAGCAGCCAACGAAGGGAGCTCTAGGCTTCTTGATGCTCGAAGAATGTGGTCATCCAATACCATCGCTCGGCGAGACCATCGGACAGGACCTCCGGTAGGTTAATTGAGCCATCGTCGTCGAGGAGCGCATGTATGCTCATTGATCCGCAGTCAACAGATCGGCGACGTAGTGAAACAGCTTCATCGGCTCGGCATCGTACATGGCCACATTCGTCGCGGGCACGTTCTCTGGAAGGATGGAATCCCCGTTCTTATCGACTTCAGCAAGGCTCACGTTCATGACGGCCTGGTGTGCCGAGGCCAGACATTGCAGTGGGGTCAAATCCCGCTGCTCGCCGACGATGATACTTGCGAAGAGTTGTACGAATTGTACAACTACATGTGCGCATTTGCTCCAGGTAAGCGCGTCGAAACCATAACGGTAGCTAGGTGGTTCACCGTCACTGCAGCGTACTTTAAGTGCTACAAGTCGACCTTCGACGTATCGTATCTCCAGAAACCCTTGGCTTTGGCGGATGCAGCTCCTTCGCACAGATACGGTAATGATCACGGGAAGAGGCTGAGAGAGGCCTATCAGGCGATCTACGGCTACTATCGGACGTGGCAACCTCAGTACGCCGTCCAATTGCAAGGTATGTACATATGCTAGTTCCAACGAGTGGACCTCTGGATACTGATGGCGCGCGATCAGACTTCATGCAGAACAAGATGGAAGACGCCTGCAAGGCTTACCAGACGAACAAAGAGATAGATGCTGAAGAGGGTGGGGATGACGACGAGTCTGATGGGGAGGGGACAATACCAGAGGATTATGAGGCTGTGTCTTGATCCTGAGGATGGTATCGATTGCCTCATGGTCGATGAATGCTACTACATGCTACGCAGGCTATGTCGAGATAAGATTCACGCGTGAACCATATCATGTTACTCCGCGAGGCCTAAGCAGCAGCTTCTTCTTCCCTCATGATGCATGAGGGTAAGAGGAGAGGTGTCGCGATCGGCAGTGGCAGTGAGAACCGGACATGAACGCGTGACGTCATGAGGATTGGTTCTTCGTCCTGACCAGCATGATCAACTTCCAGCGTCTCTTCTCGCTCGCTCGTGAACAAGTTACACAAGCTGTCCCCATGCGGCAGACATAAGCATGGCGCGAGCCGTGCGCGATGTCGACTTCGACCTCGGCGCATTCAATAGAATGCGTCCGACGGGCAAAGATTCGCCCTCGCGGTGGCAGGCGAGTGATTAGCAGGGAAGGTCACCAGTGTTAGAAGGGGGCTCCGGGAAGGAGGTGCTCATGCGAGAGTTAGGAGATACTATGTGCGTTATTATATCTACCTAGTCCCAAGGATGGCCTGACGGACTCTCCATATATTTTTAGCCCGCGTTCTGCATCCTACTTAAGCACGTCGCGCAGCCTCCTCGCCCCTGACCACCACCACCATTGCCACATTGGTGTTTCGTCGCCGCGGACCTTGATGTTCATCACTGGTACCCCCGGCGCTATAATCATAATCCCCTCCGTCCCCCCGAAGAACGTACATCGCCTCACTCCCCAGGACCCCCATCCTAGTCTTTGTCCCGGCACAGGTAGTCAAAAGCACAGACTGTTGTGCCTCCCATGGAACCTATATCCGGGAGCTATGTAGACGGGGTAATGAGACCCCGCATAACTCCACTACGCAGTACCTTCCCGCCTCGCAGAAGCATGTACTCGTCTATAGTATGAGATCTACTCTGCTGAGAGATCATGACACGAAGTTCGTCGCAAAGGATCAATAGAATGCAGTGCAAAATACCACCGCCCTGGAGCCTTGCGATCGTTGGCGCATAGCTCAGTTGCCTTCCTCCGTAGGGCTGGCCTTGGTTGGCTTTCGAACAAAAAGGCTGTTGTGCACGCTCCCGTGATGGTCTCTGCCACAATACCCTACAAGGCCATCTAGTCGATAACGGCTCACAGACAGCTACAAGCTACTGCCGATGCTCGATATGTAGTCTCGGATGAAAGCGGCGCCGGTCCAAGCTTCTTTTAGACGCTTACTATCGCCGAACCAGTGCTGGCGTCAAGCTGGGGGCTCTGCAAGGTATGACAATGGGTTGTCCGCCGACGTTGTACAGGGAAGAAGTTGCAAGCGTTGCACAGCCGGATATCCGCAATGGCATGAACGAGCGATAGCGGGTTGACATCCTCATCTTCGGCGAAGCGTTGTACCCAAGCACGAGTCGTGCGTGCGATGTTCCCTTTCCATGTCCCATTCATCTGTACCCTGCGCGTGTCTTCTTACAGCTGTCACAGCCTCTGAATATGGATTCCAATAGCCTATATAGCCATGTCCCTGCTTGGCTCTTCACATGGCCGACCGTGTCCGCCCAGCGCCCCCAGTCAGCACCCGGTCGACGGCCATCGCTTCCGGTTCATCGTCACACTTAGACAGTCTAGGAGTGGTAGGACGCTCAGTCCCTGA